CTCCCTCAGAGATAGGCTGAGAAGCTCAGTCATCCTGGAGGGACTCAGAGTAGAGCCGCTGCTCCTCCACGTCGAGAGGTGGTTCATCTGGTTAGGATGCCTCCTGGACTCCTCCCTGGTGAGGTGTTCTGGACACGTCCCACTGGGAGGAGACCCAGAGGAAGACCCAGGACACGCTGGAGGGACTATGTTTCTCAGCTGGTCTGGGAACACCTTGGAATCCCCCAGAGGAGCTGGTCCAAATGGCTGGAGAGAGGGAGGTCTGGGCCTCTCTGGTTAGGCTGCTGCCCCCGAGACCTGACCCCAGATAAGAGGAAGAAAACGGACGGAACAACAACAACAACAACAACAACAACAGTAACATATTTTCTTATAATTAATAAGAATTTAAATGACTAGGTTTGAGTGAAGTTCAATTATAAGTTACAACAGGCTGCCATACATCGTGCTACATCATTTGGTTTTGTTAGGCATGCTGAACACGACTCCATCTTGACACAGTCATTCAACCACTGAACACAGACCCACAATGTTGTGTCACTGTGCAGCAATCATAGTGGAAAATGTTCAGACCTCATAACATTTCATCGGTGAGTTTTTTTTTTATTTTAAATAAGAAGGCCATGTTTAGCATTGTGTTTATGTTCAGAATTAGTTCTGACGAGAAATGGATCAAAATCAGTAGTGAAGTTCATGAAATCTGCCACTGCTGGAGGGTGAAATTAAACTTTGTGTTTGTGTTTTTGTATTTCTGTTGAGTCAAGGTGTGCCATTAAAATAAAGACAGAAGTGTTGATTTGTACTCCTGATAATTTACTAAAGTTTTGTAACAGTAAGTATGTGATATTTTACACAACAGACACATTGTTATTTATCTAAATTTATTAATCAAAAGAAAAAAGAAAGAAAAATACCCTGACATTTGTTTTGTGGATTGCTTATTAAAGCTCTGTAACAGTAAATATATTTATTTTTCACATGAAGTAATACATTTATCTATCTAAATTTATTCCATTGTGCTTCTGAAAACATGTAGTGGAGTCTCAGTACGGCATGGACAACCATTACTTTGACCTCATCCAACTCCTGGTGACCAGTTACTACACCATCAGACAGAAACATGTTGTCAGATTACACACCTCACAGATTAAAAAGAATCGGTTCATCAGAAACTGACTAAGATCATTCTCTTCAAAGGAGTAATTAAACAATACAGAAAAAACAATAAAAATACAGTAAATAACTATAGACTTGCATTTATTTTACAAATGACTGTCAATCTTATTGAACACAATTTTTTTATTTGTAATTTTATTTTTTGTTTGTTGTGTATTTCTAAATGATGTTTTCAAAATGATGCTTTAAGCCTTGGTTTTTGTGTTGTACTTTGACAGTGTAATATTAGTATATTTTCTTTAACTTGTTTTGACTACGTTGGTAATAACAATACCATTTTTAGTTAAAATAATATAGCAAAATAAACTTTTTCTTTCAACTATCTGTGTGTGTAAATGTGTCATAGAGTACATGATAATAGAGTACATGATAATCGGGGCTGCTCTAAAAACAAAAACCTGTTAAGCTGGTAAATCCTCAGCATTGTTTACATCATTTGAATAGCCCCATCCCTTTAAGTAGACTGTTTCAAGATGGCGTCGCGCTTAGCATATCTTGGCCTCAGCCTCTTGACGGGGGTAGCCTCTCTAGTAAATATACGTCATTGGTTTTGTTAGAACTAGAAAAAGAAGAAAACCAGTCGGTATTCGTCTTACTTTATGTTTAAAAACACAAGGTTTAACTCAACGTTTGAAGCAAGTCAAACTACAAACCTTTTCTGTTTTCTTCACAAGACGCGGCGCGCGCCTTTAAGATGATATCACGTGACCGTGCAGGAAGCGTCATCATACCCGGAAGCGAGATGTTTTCACGGGCATTTCTGTTCTCGGTGGGAATGAATGATACTTTAAATGGAGCCCCAGCTGAAGTGTGATGCGTGAAGTTTATCCAGAGACGGAAAAACATTTAAACAACGGTTTGTTTTTTTCTTCATTTAGCCGCAGCTGCTAAAACCGTAAGTTAGGGAACCTTTTTATTTGGTCAAACAGAGTTTAGTCTCAGATGAAGACTGACGACCTTTCAACTTTATATATTCGTCCTGTTGGCTCATGTCTGGCTCACCTGAGCCTAGTTAGCAGAAGTTTGTTATGATGGCCATGATGGTGGCCAGAGGAGCCAGAGGAGTCCTTCTGAGCCTGAGGTCCTCTCTGCAGAGAACCGGCTCGTCCTTCAGGCTCATCCAGAGCCGTTTGATTAAAGCAGGGCCGGTTTTAAGACACATACCCAAGGTGACGCTGCTGTGTTGGGGGGCAGTCAGTGCATCATCATCATCATCATCATCATGGTCAGCCAGGTGCCAGGAAGCAACACTTTCAGCCCATACGTCTGACAGAAAGTCTCTAGCCAAAGTCCAAGTCCACAAACTGATATTTTTCCTCCGGCTCAGCCTTCGTGCGCTGGTTCTGCTCCTCAAATTTGCTCCTCTTCTTCTGGTGTCCCCCCTGGCTTTGGTGTCCAGCTGCTGGATGTCCTGCTGGCTGGACGCGCTGCTGTGGGTGACCGAGTCCTCCGGGCCGACCTTCATCAAGCTGGGCCAGTGGGCCAGCACCAGGCGGGACATCTTCTCCCAGGAGTTCTGCCGTCGCTTCTCCAGGCTGCACGTCAAGGTGCGCCCTCACTCCTGGGCTCACACCAAGCAGTGCCTCCGCAGAGCCTTCGGCGAGGCCTGGAGACGGGTCCTGGTGTTCCAGAGCAAAGAGCCCGTGGGCTCGGGATGCGTGGCGCAGGTGTACCGGGGCTGGGCCCGGGTAGACCAGGTCGAGGACCCGGACTTTCAATTACTGGTTGAAGAGTTGGAGAAAGAGGACTTGCTGGAAGCTTGGGAGATCCCAGGTCTTGGAGGTGCTCTGCAGCAGCTCTGGATGGGGAGGAGGGAGGAGCGGGACCAGGAGGAGACGAACCGTCCAGGTGGTCCACCTGAGGAGGGCAGCGCTGAGAAGGAGCGACTCATACCTGTGGCAATCAAGGTTACCCTCTCGTTTCACCAGGGGCGCCAGCAGGGGGGGGGCAGGGGTGGCCATGGCCCCCCTGAGTGTAAGCTGGCCCCCCAGTTTTACCCTGTTGAGTACCCAGGTTTTTCCTTTTTCAATTCCCCTATCTATGTAGGAATAGAACCTCATAAATATAAAAACAAACACTTTTTATTATAAATTAAGAGTTAAAAACATAATTTTATATTTTATTTAAAAAATAAATTAAACTAGACATGGGTTTTTACGATGTAAAAACAAGTGTGCATTGCCATGTAGCATGTCATTGCAGCATGGCTTTGCCTGCAGCAATGGACTTGCAGAATTAACTGACCAAGTTCAAATGTGTTTTCTAATCAAGTACCAGCTTGTGGCTGTCAGCAGGTGTTTGTAATGAGGGTAATTGTGTGAAAATATGAGGTTAGAATAAATTTTTTGTTAAACTTATTGTAGCTGGGATTTGAACCTTGATCTCCCACATGAAAGGCTATGGCATTAACCACAAGACCATTGGTGCTGGGAGAAAATACAATCCTGGTGTTTTTTTCTATGTGTGAAGAAAGAGGCAACATTGCCAATAATGATCGTTGACAAAGAACTGCATAATATTACAACAGTAGAGCAATATTATATAAAATGTTTATGCTTATAAGACAATAATATAGTAATACTAATCAAATTACATATATATCAATATTGTAATCACAGCAATAATTGAGATTAAATATAATTATTAAACTATGGTGCAGTTCCATACTGAGTAGATACAGCAGGGGGCAGTATTGGACCAATACAAGGCCCATTGACTTCCATGA